GACTTTCTACCCTATACAATCTTCAGAAATTTAAATGCAACGGCAGTAACCATCTCTTGTCTTCCTGAGAAATGTTCTTTCATTGAACTTACTACTCACTATGATATTCTCACTCTCAGTAACGGGTTGAATATTAGTGACGACATTGCATTGCTTGTGGTGAAAAATAGTGCTTGATGAAAATTGGTCAACCAATTCCCAAAACTTGATCGATAACAAAGCAACTGTTTTTTTGTTCCTTTATTTAGTGCCGGGCTCAAAATATTTCAGTGCTTGCTTCAATATATTTTGCGATCTAGCGCACACACGCACACATACCCATTGAGGAAATCGCGAATTGAATAATATGTTATATACGAGGTATAACTGTTATTTATTTCATGGAATATTATACACTGGTTGAATATGATTAATTGTCCAAATTACGTAAAATGAAAATAACACATCAACAAATGTATTTACCAAAAGTGAAAAAAATATTTTGAAATTGAAAAGAATAAATATATTCCATAAAATCAAAATTGGCTTCAACTAACTAGTTTAATTTAGTGAATGCAGCCATAATATTTGCCAAAAGTTCATTTTTTTGGTGTTGTAAGGAATTTTGTTGGTCACTCGCTCAACTTCACCCCATACATAATAATCAAGGGGGGTGAAATCTGGGGAGTTATGTGGACTAATGTTAGGGGTGTTCCAACAGTCACCCTTTGACCTAGGGCACGAATAACTCCCTTGCTATGTGCCTGATTGACTTATAGGCATCGTCTCCAATCACGACCTGCATCTCACGAACAATTTCGGGAGTTTTTTTTTTGTTTTGTTTTTTTTTGGGGGGGGGGTCGTATCAGAACGACCAAAGTAAGATTTCTGTGCTTTTCTAACTTCCGAATCAACATTATTCATTCAACTCATTCCGAATACTCTGCAATTCATCATCGGATGGACACCCAAACACTCTGAAATTATCCTACTGGGGTTTACGGCGCAAATACCAAGCACTAAAGCATGCCGTTTTTAAATTTCTGGCGGATTGAATTGCATCATGGTACTCTTTTTCCTTGCACCCGGTGCACAACCAACCGTCTATATTGTGCAGTCGACTACATCAAAAACAAACAATGCGCTTAATTAAAACTATAAAATGCTGACTATTGTTTATATTGTAAATACTTTCATGCTTTTCCATTGATAGGAATTGACTTAATTGAATTAATCTGGATTCAGCTTTTCTAAGTACAATTTTTGGGGTAGGTGTCAAATATTTTTTTTACACGCTCACTGTTAACATTTTACCAACATATATTGCACTTTTAAAATGTTTCTCTATTCATATTTATAAAAAATAGTTGTTTTATTTTCTGAAATTATTCAGTATTGCAGCTGAGCGTTTACATCCATTTATTTGGTCGGGTGCATTAACCTGACTTTCGCTATGCAGATCTGATTCCTTTGTAAACTTTTATATATATATATATATAAGTAAATTCCTTTCATATTGTCTGATAAGTTTAAAATTATAATTGAAAGAAAAACACGATATTGATAGGATTTTTCATCCTATCTAAGCTTCCGGCTTACATAAGCCATTATCAAAGATGACAATTACATTTCAATATATTAAGAAATACACGGAAAAAACAATGATAGTCTGTTTTTGTTGCATGAAATATTTTCAAGCAACGACAAACTCGTGTATACGAGACGCGGATGCTAAATTGCACCGCACCTCGTGATGTCACATATGACCACGTGAGAGTGAAAACGAGAAGCGTTAATTATGGGAAGGCGTTTCTATAAACCAATGGCTTCTTTAAACAATTATAGGCATTCAAGAATGTTTGTAGAGATTTCATAGTTTTTGTTCAGGTTAGGTTTCAACTGTTTTATTTATATAGCTTCAAGAATTTAAAAATTTTTGTTTATTGTTTTCATGATTATTTTCCGGAACTGTGTATGCGGACAGGCATGTTGTTATATGTCAATATATATATATGCGGATCGTAGTGGTATTCTTTAATTATATCCTGATTATTTTGTATATTATTTAACCATTTCGAAAATGTCCGTCTACATAGTATAGGCTTCTTTTGCGTAATGTAAATTGTATTAACGTATATTCATTATAGGGGTGAAATGTATAGATTTTATTTGCATTTTGGCTGCTCTGTGAAAAGAATCAATGATGTACCTAAGTCAACCCCTAAATAAATGTTGCAAAACTGATAATCACTTCTTCGTACAAAACCATGAATTATAGAAGTAATTCTTTACAAAGATTTCCTTGTCTGCAGGCATTTACACGTGACTGTCCACCGACCTCTTCACCTGTAATATTCTTTCTATTTAATGTTTGTTATTAAAAGAATTAGGTACAGGTCATTGCAAATGTAGAATGCAAATGATTTCTTCGAATGGATTCTATTTGGTTTGGCCAAATAATTGTTTTCGCATACAATCGGGAACGCTTTAGTTTGAGTTCATCTGTACTTTAATTTAAAACAAAATTAACATGTAATAATACACTAACAACCATTCTATTATCACATACACACACACACATATATATATATATATATATATATATATATATATATATATATATATATTCCTTTTTAAATTAAAATGACTGCCACTATATTTCTCACTTTATTTTTCTTCTGTGTTAACAAGGGTATTCACTTTCGACGTAGTGAATTCTGACATTTGCAAATATTGTTTCGGGTGCTTTCGGTTCATTCGTTTACCATTTCCAAGCAATGTTTGGGATCTTTTAAATCGTATCTTCTCCTGTAAAGGCTGTGATTTCAGACATATTCATAACCTCCAAATAAAGCCTGTATACTGGAACATTGTCAATTTTATTAAATGTTTTTATGTAAATATCATCAGTTATATCAGAAGCTTTTTTTCCGATGGGGTCTTATCTCTTTCCTGTAATCTATAACTTTGTTGCGTATCAAATTTTGCATCATTTCATGTTTTTTTTTTTTTTTTTTTACATGGGCCATTGGGAAGATCTTGTCTCAGTGATGTTAAAGCAGGTCTTCATAAAACTGTGGTGATACAGCTGACAAATATTTAATGAATTCGCTTTCGTTAAGACATCACTTTTCTATAGAGCATATTGATGTATATATTTGTTACATACATAAACATGTCCTCTGGATTCATTCGAGAAATATGTTAGCTATCTTTCAGTAACTAATGAATCGCACAATATTTGAAATAGGACCCTCAAATGAGAGAAAATGACAAATAGAATACCGTAATATATTTAATCTTTTATAAGCAGTGTGTGCTAGAAAATTTCATCAAATGATGACTTCAAACGTCTGAGATGAATTCCTATCGAATAAATGCGAGGAATAGTGAATAGAACATGCAAGCAAGTGGAAATGGAAACATCAAGAGAAATATGTAATTAGAATGAAAGATAAATTTTCTGAGACTTTAACTTTTAAAGATTATTGATAAAAAACAATCTTCAAAATTACCGATCTTGGCATTTCGGCTTCATTTTCTTGCTGTCGTAACGTAACGTTTCTCTACACCATATTTTTACATAAATATTTCAATGTTGATTGGATTGGTGAGATTTATTCTTTGGTACACCGACATTACGTATTTAAACGCAGTACTAATTTGGCATGTCTCATTTTACAGTTGAAATGGCTGGATGTAACCGCATGTTTTATGCTAACAGTTTATTCTCTCTTACTCCTCGCTTGTGGAACTCTTTTCTGACATTTTGACTTTGATCTTCAAACGTATAAATATGCCATTAGTGTTAACGTCTGTTTACTTGAACGCATTTCTATTCTTGCCATCTCTTTTAATCATTTCCAATTTCCCATTCTTCCATATTCACTACTTCCTTGTGTCTTAGATGCTTTATTGTCCTGCTTGAGGTGAAATGATGAAAATAATAAACAGTTTAGCCAATGTAATAATCATAAGGTATTGATAACGTATGAAGCGGAGGAAATCTCTGGAAATTAGCTAAAGGAATATTTGTGAAGAAGGAATGAATTTGGAAAGAGGGTTAAAAACAGTTTCGACGATAAATAAGACGAAACTGTCGTGAGCTATGATTAGCCGGTCCTTAAAAATCCTTCCCACATAATTCCTTGATACCACAGTTGCATGACCAAATGAATTTTGCTTAGGTTGACGCGTTGATATGTTTGCAATGATTGATAATTGTTTAATTTCGGAAAAGATGTCTAAAACTTGAATTTACAACAATGTTTATTCGTTTCACAGGAAGTTTATAATATATAATTCGTGAGAAGATTTAATTAGATTCTTAGTAACACACGTATACATTTAAAAATACACATGTATATGCAATCTACAGCCATGAGTAAAAGCTCCAATGACATGGCCATCTTTATCATTTTTCATGGTTTCCCTTAACTGTAATTTTCATCTACTTCCTGAAAATAATCCCCCAGAAAAATATTTGATTTGTTTAACGGCATATCAACTCCTTATGGGACATTTAATGCCGAAATTTTTTTTCTTGTTTGCTTTGCTGTAATAAATTATAATACATTTTACCCTGCTTCCACAATTTAAATACATGTAGATTATACACAGCTTTTACGCATATACACGTTTCTTTGGAGAAGCAGTGATATTTGTTTTTGTTTTAGTTTTATTAAAGTTATATTTTGGAATACAGTGTGATTTTAGAAATTGTCGGATAATGCATGGATTAATGTCGCGAAAATGTTCATGTTGGTGCTTTGATTTTCTTTAGGAACGTATCAATTTCTATGGGTTAATTAATGCCGAAATCTAAATATTTTGAACACAATTTTATGGCTTCAACTAAATATATTTTGAACGTAATTGTATGCCTTCAACTACAGATAAAATATATTGTGGCTCTTATTGCGTAATTTCAAAATCTCCCAATCAGAGGTATTGTTTTCTAATGTAGTTTATCCTCATATCCAGGACGAAAAAAAATGAATTTGCTACAATGTATTTAACTAAAATCCGTCCTGTCTTACGATCCCGTAAGTTTTGGTTAGACTCACTTGTGGCATTGTAGTCACTCATAAAGGCGTTGTTGTTTTTTAGCCATCGGGAGTGAATTTGGTATCGATCAGTTAAAGTTGAGTGATGTGTGGCCTATTGAATGGAGAGTAATACTCCCGAGAATTATTTTATGGCGCTTTTCATTAAATCGCGATCATCAAAGGAAGCGATTCGCACGAAATATTTGAGAGTTCCCGTTACATTCAAATCGATTTTGTATAGCTCATTGAAAACTTCCTTGCAAAACATCGAATATATCACACGTGTTTCAGATCGAAAACTAATTATTACTAAATTCCTGTAAATGTGCAATTACGTCCCGATCTCTAAATGCCTTGTTTTTTTGTTTGTTTTTATGGTCTTATTTGCCTTCAAGTTCTGGTTTCACTTCATATTAGCATGTACACGCTTGCATACATACACACAAACACATATACATACAGGTACATACACACACACACACACACACACACACACACACACACGTACAGACAGATACATACACATGTAGACCCAGACGCGTATACACTCCACACACAATACCCACACGAAGGCACACGCACGCGCATCCAGATACATAGGCACGCGCACGCGCATCCAGATACATAGGCACGCGCATCCAGATACATACCCGCGCACATACTCACACAAAAATCATAGATCTTCGAATAGGATGTTTATCATGACATTTGCCTGCTCATGCGTTAAAAAAATCAATCTTGATGTGGAGATAAACTTTTAAGACAAAATGATAAATCGTTCTTCTGGAAAGGATTATGAATGGAAAGATTAATCGATATGTTAGTCAATGTAAAATTATAGACTTTCTGCTGTCTGATATGATTTCATATTCTTATATCTTAATAAATGATTTTATACTAGAAACGATATAACTCATTTTTTCGAGCAACTAATTTTCCTCTATTATCCGAACTTTTGGTCATTTAATAAATACAAAAAATAAATCATTTATACAGTAACACTTTAATTTTAAAGTACATGTCTCACGGGGAATATTTGAAATAACCAACTGATTTAGGGATCATTTTCCAGGTTAGTTATATGAGCATTATATAACGTACATTACAGGTAATCTCATAATACCGTAAAATATCTGCTTATAGACTTTTTTTCTCAACTTTCTCATTGACCTCTCTGTAGGCTTATTGATTTTCTATCAAATATGAGCTTCAAAAATTTAAAGGCAATAATCATCTCATTGAAACTTGACCTTTTAATGTCTTTCTTGCAATATGATTTTCAGGTTCTTAGAATTTCAGTAACCTCTTGAATTTTAGTGGATTTCTTACCTTGCTGGCGATGAAATATTTATAAATCACTTCATTATAAATATTGAAACTAATATGGTCCGAGGTTAACAGATTTATTAAGCAAACAAACTAATTTCCACTTTAATTTTTATCTATCAATAAGTACACAAAGACCGATAAACGTAGTGTGTTTCTGTCGTAATTTTCATATGAGACGGAATTATAAATTTTGGTATTGAATAAGTGTCTAAGTACCACGACTAAAATATAATCGTGGAAATATATACTATAAAATATTGTTAGCTATTGGAGTTTCCCAGACTTAACCACATTTATATTCTGAGAGTATCGCCATATTTCTATTTATTTTTTGACTCCGTTCACCCTGCGTCTGTCATTGCCTCGGTTCACTCTGCGTCTGTCACTGCCTCGGTTCACTCTGCGTCTGTCACTGCCTCGGTTCACTCTGCGTCTGTCACTGCCTCGGTTCACTCTGCGTCTGTCACTGCCTCGGTTCACTCTGCGTCTGTCACTGCCGTCTGTCACTGCCTCGGTTCCTCTGCGTCTGTCACTGCCTCGGTTCCTCTGCGTCTGTCACTGCCTCGGTTCACTCTGCGTCTGTCACTGCCTCGGTTCACTCTGCGTCTGTCCTGCCTCGGTTCACTCTGCGTCTGTCACTGCCTCGGTTCACTGTCTGCGTCTGTCACTGCCTCGGTTCACTCTGCGTCTGTCACTGCCTCGGTTCCTCTGCGTCGTCTGCCTCGGTTCACTGCCTCGGTTCCTCTGCGTCTGTCACTGCCTCGGTTCCTCTGCGTCTGTCACTGCCTCGGTTCCTCTGCGTCTGTCACTGCCTCGGTTCTGCGTCTGCGTCTGTTCACTGCCTCGGTTCACTCTGCGTCTGTCACTGCCTCGGTTCCTCTGCGTCTGTCACTGCCTCGGTTCACTCTGCGTCTGTCACTGCCTCGGTTCACTCTGCGTCTGTCACTGCCTCGGTTCACTCTGCGTCTGTCACTGCCTCGGTTCACTCTGCGTCTGTCACTGCCTCGGTTCACTCTGCGTCTGTCACTGCCTCGGTTCACTCTGCGTCTGTCACTGCCTCGGTTCCTCTGCGTCTGTCACTGCCTCGGTTCACTCTGCGTCTGTCACTGCCTCGGTTTCACTCTGCGTCTGTCACTGCCTCGGTTCACTCTGCGTCTGTCACTGCCTCGGTTCCTCTGCGTCTGTCACTGCCTCGGTTCACTCTGCGTCTGTCACTGCCTCGGTTCACTCTGCGTCTCCGTTCTCTGTCTCTATCCATTAATTTTCACTTATATATCGTTTTATTCTTATTTATCCCCAATCTGAAAAGAAGTCTGCATTATTTATCTGAGCCAAAGGCTGGTCCTACGCGGTAACTATCAAACAAGCATTATCATTAAGTTATTCATCATTATTGTCTAAATTTGTCATATTTCCATGTTTTATTGGCTACAGCAACATGTATTTGATAAATAGCGTATTCCTAATTGGGAGATATTATTACGATACTTTTTAATATGAGCTTTTCCAAGTTCTGTTTTTGACTCTTCTGCACTTTCGATTAGTGAATTTTCTTTCTTTCGACATATATTTTTGACTCGATATTGCTTTCCGTTTCTGCTGCATATTCATTGATATTTGCTCGGAGATTACGTTCGCGTATGAAACCTTAGCACACTCGGTGTTGACCTCAGTCTATTCATTTATATTTACACTCTTTTCCTTATTCAGAATTCTTACCATAAATTTACATATCCTAATGTGTGTGTATCTTTTTCTGTGCTAGAATGGAATCTGCTGCCAAGAGGAACGCTATTAGAACTTGTTCGAAATATGAAACTTGATTTATTTTATAAACTGTTAATATTTCCTGAAAATACTAAGCATAATAGTCCTAAATGCTATAGATTTAAATTATTTCAAAGGTATGCAGTGATTCTAAAGAATTTATGGATGTAAGGTGCATAAGTCTTCGAATTGCCATGTTAACGGGAATTGTTGCAATGTTCGGGGAAAAAGGTATAATATATCATGCGTTGATTAAATTTCAGTGGCGTCTTTTTTTCATTCTTAATGAAGATTGAGGATGCAATTAGGTAGACGAAACTTATTTGATGCATAACTTTAGATACTTTTCTGATCACAGCAATGATATCTATCAATATTGCTTTTAATTTTTTAGGCGTATATTTGCCCAATCCTGCTTATATTCTTCTCATAATGAAATTCGTTAGAATCATTTATCGCACTTCAATTTTGAAAATTCACAATTTCATTCGATTGTATGGATAATAGGAAACTGCTGAATCAGCTACCTTATAAATTCAAATTGCTGACTTGCAAGCATGTCCTTAGCTGTTCGTAGGAATGACATAGCTTTAAAAATAAATACATATTTCAGCAACAATATTCCCAGCGTCGGCAATTCTAATTCCTAATTGTAAACGCAGTTCGAATTCCAATCAAAACCATGACATTAAGTTACGTACTAATAGCTTTGGGAAAGGCATGAATCCTCTTCTCCCACACCTCTGCTATGGGTAAATAGTAGCACAGACCTGGATCTATAGCCTTGGATGGCAACTGGTCTACTGCAGAAAGATTTTTCACGCAGTAGTCGCCATTTCTATCTCGTCAGTCATGTATCAAAAAGATATCATAATCGCCTACGCGTGTATCACACAAGGCATGTAACTGACTGAAAACACATTGTAGGTTCTTCTGAGCCCGCTCACGGATTCGTAACACATTTTGTATCACGTTATTCTCGTTTCTCTCCCGAGACAAATCCATACCATCCATATTGAGTCGTCGATAGACTTATGTTATAATGCAAATCTCTTATATACGATTAACCGAAGTATAAATAATTAATTTACCTCTAAAAGAAACATGATACAAGCTCTTGTAGATCTTGTAATGGAAAAGATTCCTCATATTTCTCATTCAGAATGTGTAAGCTATTTGACTCTCTTATATTATGATCGTTCTGATCGGGTTAAACGAACAAGATTCATAGTTGGATGAGAATTCTCAAGACAATCGCTTGTAGTTGTCACTTTACAGCGCGAGATGCTTCATCGTCAATGCCTCATTTATTCTGAATTTGGAAAGTATTTGAGGCCATCTTATACCAAGATAATTGTGCTCCTCTGCTCATTGTACAATTATTTTTTCCGGCTTGATTTACGAGGCATTAAGATAATATTAAGGAAAATGGGACCATCCCATTTCATCAAAGAAAAGATAACCAAACACAAATGTAGAGATTCAACCATTATATATGTGAACAGTTAACCGTTTATTTCCATATGGCAGGTGAAACATTCAGGACCTTGCGGAAAAAAGATTAAGATGTATAAAAGATTTGAAAGACTTTCATCTGCACCAGGCAATATTATAGGTTTTTTTTTGTTTTTTTTTTTCTTTTTTCTACTCATTGTACTTACTCTAATTTCCTTTTGATTTTTTTTTCATTTTGTAAATTATGTACATAGTGTGCGTTCTCAATGATCAATCCAAAATAAGGTTGTATTAATACTCCTTGTATTAATATCCACATAATTGCTGCCTATTTCATAACGTTTTTAATCCACGTATTTATATTGTATTTACGCGACTGTTCTTATTAGGATTTCTCATGCTATTTAATGCTTGCTAATGAAGATCTTTGTAATGAATCTTGTCTACTCAAAGCAAAGACTGCATACATTTTCAGCTCCTAATTCCAACAATTTAAATGTCTTGTATTTAATAGCCTATTTACCCTGTAAGATTGTTTGTGAGAAGCATAAGCCGAATTCTCAAAGACAATGGTATGTGTCACCACCTTACCTTCTATAACTACTATCTCATTACTTATACGTATATCTATTCTAGTTTAGTATCTGGTGATTTTAATGTAAATACCGGCTCGCATAAGCATGGAAAGGCAACGTGAATTATCGTGTACTGTCCACAGATATCTAGAGAAAACTGGTCAACATCTAGCCCAGTCGTTCCCAAACGGTGTGGCGGAAGCGGATAACGGTGAAATGGAAGGATTAGAAGACCATCAAATATCTAGAAATTTAAAAAAAATATTCATATGCCAAAAATAAATGATTAAAAATTTTAAATATAATGGATTAATTGTAATAACATGGGTGAATCCCAGTATAAATAGTTATAAATAATTGACTGATTTTATGCTTGCTGCACTCTCCCGTCTGTTATTTTAGGAGCAGTTTTGATGGGATTAGCGTCCCATATATTGTCACGCAGCAAGCAATTTTTTACGTTTTTTAATCCATTGTCTACGTAATTTTACTTTTTATTTCTTCAATTCCCCTTCGATGTGATATCAGTTTTAGTCGATATCTCAACAAGAAAACATTAGAGGAATTTTACAGAAACTGTTTTAGAAGTTATTGTGATAATTACCAGGTAAGTAAAATGGACCTCACAAGAAACATGTCAAACGATCCTGACAAATTACGTCACTGAGTAAAGTCAGACATTGAGTTCTAGATAATTGTTTGACAAAGTTGACTAGAAAAAATGCTGTTCTGTATAACAGTGGGTCCTTCGAGTAACAGACAGAAAGATCCACAGAGAACTGAGAGAAAGTGGGGCGAGACCACTCGCGGGAACCCTAAAATGAAGACACACCAGTTAGAATGTTCACACTCTCACCTACACCTCAGATTCCCCTCGCTCTTCTACAGAAGCCTATTGTCGAATAAAAAATAAAAACAATTACTCGTACAATCGGCTCAGTTTTAGTTCGTGCGTAACGCGATGACCAAAGTGTTATTCTCAAGCCAAAGACTTTTCTCTAGAAGGTGCAACCTGAGAACGAAACCGGCGTCTGGTACGAGCTAAAACGCAACAATACTAAATTTGAATAATTTTTATTTTGATTAGTGAACACAAAAATATAGTATCTTCAATCAATATTCTTTGTATCATCTATATTGTGCACCGCACACTAGAATGTGGATATACAGAAATAGAAAGAATAGGGCAACGACGCGATTTTAATGTCCTGCTGTTAAAAATTAGTGTAAGATTATTTTTTAATGGCAGTGTATTTTGGTCTCAGACCTTCTGAGGCTGATCGTTAAGGTCAGATTATAAACAAAATAGGGATATCGATTTTGATTGGCTGAGGGGAACGATGGAATGCGTTTTAGATTAGTTTTGTGGGAAGTAGTTAATCGAACGTCGAGCGAACTAGACGTGCCAGATTGCGTTTGTGCACATCCATCAAGTGGCGGATGTCTTTCGAGAGTTGGTTGTTACATGTAAAAGGAAATTGACGTTTGAGATTTTCGTGTTGCGAAGCGGCGCCTTAATTTGGGATGTACTAACCCCGACTTTATAGAATATGTACCTGTCGATATGGTTAATAAATTAGTAAGATTTAAAATCCCTTATGTTGAATTTCTCATTTTGCCTCCAAACAACTGGTAATCAGCAGCCGAAAGAAAAGACTTTCTTGTGAAATCGACACCGTTGCCCCAAGAGAAACTCAAAAGTGCCTATGCAACACCGCGAGACTATTCTAAAAGGAGTGTCGGCAAATTATAAACATATCCTAAGTTGTTGGCAAATTAAGACAATTATAAAAAGGTAAATAAATCTAACAAAGCAGGCAAAATGGATAAACCGTTAAGAGCAATAAGGAAGAATGCATAGCTGCCTGCAAAAGAATGTCCGTCATGCAAATTACATGACGGGGTTTCCATAATGAAGTTGGACATGTTGGACTATATTGGAAGCACAGGAACACAGATTAATAATGTCATAGAAATACACCGTCGTATAAAATAGTGGAAAATGCTTTTCAGAAAATAAACAAGTTGTTAGGAAATTATCCATGGAAAAAAAATATATGGTCTATGGGAAAACTTCGTGAGAGGTGATATAGTATGTAGATTATCACCCCCAAAACAACATAGCTTTGCCTGTCGTTTTGGGGCGCGCGCAAGTAAGGACCTATAAAACAAGACCATAAGTTTATTTTCTTCTGAGCATTTTCTCTCTCTGATGTATCACTGGAAATATCATTAATAAATAGGAATTACTTAACGAATTTCGATTCCAATTGTAAGAATGTGCACGATTTTCCCAAGGAAAGCATATATTGTGTACTTCTGGAAATGAGTGAAACACTATCTTTTAGTTTTGTTAGTCCCTCGGCTAATCTATTCAAATGTCTAATGGATTTACAGGGCCGGACATTATGCATCTATATATTACGAGTTGTGTACAAGATTTCACTCCATATCGGCAAATGCTTGCGTAAATGTCTTTTAAATGTCAATAAATGAATATGAATCTTA